TGGCCCTGGGTAGCTCTGGTGCTGGCTGTGGCCCTGGGTAGCTCTGGGCAGGACTGAGTAGACTTCACTAAAGAATTGTCGGCCGGGCACAGTGGCTCAGGACTGTCATCCCAGCACTTTGGGAGGCTGAGGTGGGTGGGTCACCTGAGGTCAGAAGTTCAAGACCAGCCTGACCAACATGATGGAACCCCATCTCTACTAAAATACAAAAATTAGCCGGGCATGATGGCGGGTGCCTGTCATCCCAGCTACTCGGGAGGCTGAGGCAGGAGAATTGCTTGAACCCAGGAAGCAGAGGTTGCAGTGAGCTGAGATCGCGCCACTGCACTCCAGCCTGGGCGACAAGAGCGAGACTCCATCCCCCACAAAAAAAAAGAAAGGAATTGTCATGATGTAAGAGGAGAACTCTGGATTCGAATCTGGAGAGCTTCTACCCTCGGCCTTCGTTTGTTATCCTAATTTGTGTGACATCGTTTTGTATATCTATGTGTTCCACAAACGTACATCGTTATCGTGATCTACTCAACATGTAAAAAATGCAGAAATTATACTTTTCGATCTTCCTGTCTTAGACTATGCCCAGTTTGTGTTCCTGTGACAGTCCCAGAATTAGAGCTGGGCATAGGCAGGGAACCCTGTGTGTCTGGGAGGAACTGGAAATACGTCACTATAAGTGAACTCCAGGCTGGGTGCTGTATTTGAGGAACAGCCTTGTCTCCACATTTGATCTTAATTGGTTGTGGTTCCTTTTCTGAAATAAATCACAACCCAGATGGGACTGTCAGCTTAGGAAGCCCTTTGTGGCGCCATTTCCTCCTTTTCCTCTCTTACGGAGAGCCACGCCAGGGGTCAGAGCTTCTCTGGCTAGTGCCTGTCTGATCTCCTGCCTAAAGCTTTGTCTAACCCAGCCCAGCCCTGGCCCTAGTTTAGCTTTCATGCTTCTGAGTCCAGCCCAAGCCTCCTCCCTGTGGGCAGCAGAACCCTGCAGACCACTCCCCTCCTTGGTGTTCACCCTCCCGTGCCAGTTCCTGATGTGCCGCTCCTCATGTTGCCATCTGTGTTTTTCCTCCCCAGCTCTGCCAAGCCAAGGGCTTCATCTGTGAGTTCTGTCAGAACGAGGATGACATCATCTTTCCCTTTGAGCTCCATAAGTGCCGGACCTGTGAAGGTGAGGGCAGGTGCAGGCATCGGGCAAGTGAGCCTGAACACAGGGCTCCTTGATTCCCCAGAGCCACCCCTGTTAGCAAGAGTTCAGTGCCACTCAGCACTTCACAGGGCCTCCCCAGGGGACACCACGCCTTGGTGGCGAGAAGGGGCTGTGACAGCAACTGACCTCTAGCTGGAGATAATACAAATTGTTTTCTTCTCTCTCCTACCTTCCCAACCTGAGTAGAGTGTAAAGCGTGTTACCATAAAGCCTGCTTCAAGTCTGGAAGCTGTCCGCGCTGCGAGCGGCTGCAGGCCCGGCGGGAGGCCCTGGCCAGGCAGAGCCTGGAGTCTTACCTGTCGGACTTCGAGGAGGAGCCCGCCGAAGCGTTGGCCCTGGAAGCCGCCGTCCTGGAGGCCACCTGAAGAAAGCACATGAAGCCCCTGTCTGGGCCGGGGTCACACATATTGCAGAACTGAGCCACTCTTTGAAGGACTTGCCCCACCTGGGGCTGCTGCTTTTTTTTAATTATCTTTTTTTTTTACTGTCTGACGTCCGTGTGCAGTCAGCCTTTGGTAGGTTGATGGGTCCAGAGTCTGTGGTGACAGATAATTTGTAAGCTCCAGGTGTTTTCATCAGAACTGACATGTGGGTCCTTCAGTGAAGCTTCTAGTGCCTCTGTCAGGGGAAGAGACAGCAAGACCCAGTTCCTCCAGCGTCTGTGGCCTTCTCTAGAACCAGACCTGGTTTCAACTGCATGTCAAGTATCTTTTCCAATTTTCCTTTGTTTTCGTTCTGGAGCTTCTGAGCCAGGCCTTTCTCAGCCACCTCTCCTCCTGCTGCTGAAACGGCGGCGTTCTTTCTCTCCCTGTCCTGGATTGGGGTCAGACTGTGCCCCGAGGAGAAGCAGCAGAGAATGGGACTACGTCATGGGCATTTTGTCCACTTATTTGGGTATTTTGGGGGCCACAGAACAATCATGACTATCCTAGACTCCTCAGAGACCTCAGAGAGGCAGCCGTGAATGTCGCTGTGTTGCTGGGATTTCCCGTTTGGAATATGTGAAGTATAGATGATGCCAGAAGCTGACTTTCTTCATCTGCCCTGGTGAGCTTGAAGCAAAGAGCAGAACTGATGCGTAGGCCAGGCTCGTCTGCAGCCTTATGCCACAAGCACACGTGAGGCGGCAGCTCTGCTGCTGAAGGAGCACTTAGGTGTTAAGGTCTCTTTTAGTTAACCTGGCTTTTTGATGCAGGTATGATCTTTGAAGCTCAGGCAAGTCCCTGATGCCATCCTAAGGTGAGGACAGGAACCCCACCCACCCTCTTAGTGTGTCCCTGACCACTCTGTCATCTGTTCGATGGTCATTGTGGTTCTCAGTGAAAGTACAACCCAACTCCCTTCTCTCTCCCCTTGTGCAGCAGAGCTGCATCCTTCCCTGGTGGCCGAGTCTCTCTTGCCTTAGCTTCTGTGGTCAAAGTTGGAGAAAAGCTTCCTGCTATTAGTGCTGTGACAGAACTCGACAGTTTGTGGATGTGAGTGTGATGTTCTGTGTTCTTGGGATAACAAGAGCCTTTATGCCAATTATGCACTTAACTCTGTGTAGCCTGGTGATGTTTATCTGTTCAGTTGCCCATTGGATAGTGCTGGTTTTAGTGTGCGCCCTGCCCCCCGTTAATGTGTGTGTTGACGGCAAAGTCCTTTCGATAGTGCTGGTTTTAGTGTACTGCCTCCCCCCATTAATGTGTGTGTTGATGGCGAAGTCCTTGGATGGGGCCATGTGTGTGTTTGTGATGTTCCTCAAGTTGATGCAGCTTCTAACCTCTGTGAAAACACTGGTCAGAGTGGCTTCCCCAAGAGCTGGCAGCTCTGTGAACTAAAGCCTGCAGCATTTCTGTTCTGGGACTGAATTCTGCCCGTGGGCCCGTCTTCCTGTAGTTGCCCGCTGGTAGGAGAACAATGGGCGTGGGCGCTGTCCCTGGAAGCTGAACAGAAGGGGGCCTGTGGTTGGTGGAAGCTGATGAGAGCCTGAGCTGGCGGTAAGAAGGAATCTCCCAGGGAGGTGGGAGAGACCTTAAGGTGATGGCCAAGGCTGAGACTCCACCAGCACGAGAGGGAACGTGTGGGAACCGGCCCCTGCTCTTGGTTCCTCTGCCTCAAAGTTGGGATCTGAAAGCCATGTTGGGCTATAAGACCCTGAGGCTGTTCTCCCTTCTGTTCACAGTGAGGCTCTTAAGGCCAAGGCCAGCAGTTTTGAAGGGCTGACTGGAAGGCCCGGGCCCTTCAGGGAGCTTCACGGAACTCAGGTTTCACTAGGGGTTCGGTCCCAGATCCAGACCCAGGGGTTTATAAAAATGGTGAGCTCTCCTTCCAGGTTTGGTTTAAATTACACATCCAGGCCAGGCATGGTGGCTCACGCCTGTAATCCCAGCACTTTGGGAGGCTGAGGCGGGCGGATCTTGAGGTCAGAAGTTTGAGACCAGCCTGGCCAATGTGGTGAAACCCCGTCTCTTCCAAAAATACAAAAATTCGCCAGGCATGGTGGCGCACACCTGTAATCCCAGCTACTTGGGAGGGTGAGGCAGGAGAATCGCTTGAACCCAGGAGGTGGAGGTTGCAGTGAGCCGAGATTGCACCACTGCACTCCAGCCTGGGTGACAGAGCGAGACTCCATCTCAAAACAAAAACAAAAAAGTGACACATCCAGCTCCATCTCCAGGTCATTGGAGATGTGCTATCTTGTCCTGCCTGTTTCTCATCAGCACAGGATCAAAGGATAAAAATGCCGACAGCTTCTGAAGCCGGACTCAACAGTCTCACAGGCTCCTGACTTGTCACTTACTTTTCTCCATCTCCCTCAACTGCACCCCATCCCTTTAGATCGTGCGTGTTTTAGTGACTGACACGCTGCTGCCATCACCGTCCAAATACTCATTTATTTATTTATTCGAGAGGGGGAAAGCGGGTAGAGGATGGGATGTTTTGGAAGCACTTTGCAACTTGTCAGTATCTGAAAATCCCCTGCTGTTGCGGGGAGAAGCTTTGAATGCACTGAAGAGAATCCCTTCTAAACGAAGGTGAGGGTAGTGTTCTTTCTCTAAGTAAAGGGAAAGAAAAAAACGTAGGTTGCTTACCAGGTGGAGACAAGATTCAAGACATAGCAGAAAAGTGGAAGACAAATATCTTCCACTTAAATGAGGCTGTTTTGACGTTCTCTGCCAAGGATTTAGAGCTCTTGTTGAATTACCATAGAAGAAACGCGAGTCTCAGTAGAGATGTTCTGTGTGTGCAGCCTGTGCTCTGAACTGGCTTTCCACCTGCCGTGGTTCTTGCACAGCCTGGCAGTTCATTGTCATCTTTAATAAACTAAGGAAATGAAATTCTGTCTTTGGTTAGCCTTCCTTGACTGTCAAGAAATGGCATTGTGTCCACTGTACAGCAGGTATATCTGAACATTGAGAAGGTTTCTGTTACAACGTAAAGCAAATGGGACCACACACATCAAGGAAAGTGGGGTGGAGTGGCTGCGTCACTAACTTGCCATGAGACCTCTCGAGCGAACCACTTCTCTTCTCTGGATTTTTGGTGCATAGAACATGTGCCCCCTGCCCATACCCTTGGTGTAGTTGTCACTTAAAACGAGGTGTCTTCCTCTCCACAACATCTGACTTGCCTTAGATGCTTCAGTTCCCACTTCTGTGACTACCTAGCATCTTTCTCGTGCTCTTGGCCCACTGGAGCTCCAGCTCTACCCTGCAACTCTCTGAACATTTGCCCTTAAATGTCCCCTTGTCATCTCCAACCCGCGTGTCTAAACCCAAAATAAATACCGTATTTCCCATGTCATCTCCAACCAGCATATCTAAAACCAGCATAAATACTGTATTTCCCGTGTCATCTCCAACCAGCGTGTCTAAAACCAGCATAAATACCATATTTCCCATGTCATCTCCAACCAGCGTGTCTAAAACCAGCATAAATACTGTATTTCCCTTGTCATCTCCAACCACCGTGTCTAAAACCAGCATAAATACCATATTTCCCATGTCATCTCCAACCAGCGTGTCTAAAACCAGCATAAATACCATATTTCCCTTATCATCTCCAAGCCACGTGTCTAAAACCAGCATAAATACCGTATTTCCCGTGTCATCTCCAACCAGCGTGTCTAAAACCAGCATAAATATCATATTTCCCAAAACCTAACCATTAGTCACCCAGGTTTGAAAATTGTCTTCAACTTCCTCTGTAAGTGGCACACTCAGCTCGTCACATATTGTCTCCTTCCTACTCCCTGTCATCAAGTTCTGTTGATGTTTTTCTCTAAAATAAATCTCTCATTACTTTTCTGCCACTAGCACACAAATTCAGCTGTTTTTCATCATACATTATTTTCCTCCCTGCTCCTCAGTGGAACAAGAATGACCAGAGAAGCACCTTGTGGGATGAGGGGCCGGGCATAGTGGCTCACGACTGTCATCCAGCACTTTGAGGGGCCGGGCGTAGTGGCCCATGCCTGTCATCCAGCACTTTGGGGAGACCAAGGCAGGCAGATCACCTGAGGTCGGGAATTCGAGACCAGCCTGGCTAACATGACAAAACCTCATCTCTGCAAAAATACAAAAATTAGCCAAGCATGGTGGCGTGTGCTTGTAATCCCAGCTACTCGGGAGGCTGAATCATGAGAATCGCTTGAACCTGGAAGGCGAGGGCTGCAGTGAGCCAAGACCCTGCCTCAAAAAAAAAAAAAAAAAAAACAGCAGCATACTGTGGCATGAGGGGCGGGCTTGTGACCTGCCTCTGCCTCCCCTGTTAGTGTTCACCAAATCTCTGCAGTGGTGAGCGTGTCCTCATCTCCCGTCTTCTCCCTCAGCTACTTTGTCTGCAATTCCTCCTGTTGTGTTTGTCCAGCAGTCATCATCAGAGGACACACATCCCAAATGTCCTTCAGTCACTTTATTATTAAACTGCCAGCTCTTTCCTTGCCAGGGACTAAACCAGGAGATAAGATGGTATTTATATGTTGTAAACACACACTACATATTTAAAAATCTTCATATTTACAATTTAAACTGAGAGGAGAATGAAAAAGCCATGTGAAAGACTGCTGAAGTTGATAAAATGTTCAAATGTTTTTCAACTAGAGATAGGAAAATAGCTTACAGTACAAAACCTTTACTTTGTTCGAAGGCCCTTTGTTCACTGTTACAAACTGGTGTAGTTCACAGGAAGCCAAAACTTGATTTCCAGTAAATTCCCAAACTTCTGTTCCCAACATTTAACTTAGATTTTAGATGATCATATTCCAAGATTGAAAAGACTGTTAAAGAGGAAAACAAGGACCACTGACTCACAATGGCAGCCCAGCATTTACTTACTCATTCAATCATCTGTCAATCCCAAACATCTATAGATGCTTCTGTGTTCCAGACACCATGCCAGAGCTGAGTACAGAGAATCACAGAATATTGTTTAAAGATGTTTACTGGAGCATAATTTATAAGAGTAAACAGTTAATGGAAAATATAAAAAATAAATGCAACCATCAAAATTACAGTTATAAAAATTGTGATAGTAAGCCACGCATGGTGGCTTATGTCTGTAATCCTAGCACTTTGGGAGGCCGAGGCAGGTGGATCATGAAGTCAAGAGATTGAGACCATCCTGGCTAACATGGTGAAACCCTGTCTCTACTAAAAATACAAAAGCTAGCTGAGCATGGTGGTGGCACCTGTAATCCCAGCTACTCGGGAGGTTGAGACAGGAGAATTGCTTGAACCCGGGAGGCGGAGGTTGCAGTGAGCCGAGATCGCGCCACTGCACTCCAGCCTGGGCAACAGAGCGAGACTCTGGCTCAAACAAAAAAATAAATTATGATAGTAACATGGGGAAAAAGTCTTGTAACACAACGTTATGTGAGAAAAAGTTAGAAAAAATGTATGTCAAATATATATTAGTCCATACTTACATAAATAAATGACTGAATAAATAAATTCTCACAGAAGAATTCTAAACAAAATACATAACTTCTCCCAGGAGGTGGAGTTTAATTCCTTCTCCCATTGACGGCAGACTGGAATTAGTGATTCACTTTTTAATAAAAGGATGTAGAAAGAGGAAAATAGCAACTTTACAGTAGAGAGAGCTAACACAACCTTAACCAAGTAATCAAGGTTAACATCACCAAAGATGTCATTGGATGTCATGTACCTACTGATACGATGAAAGGAGTACGTCTTCCCTGTCATTCTTTCAGAAACCCATAACCTCAGTGTAATCATGAGAAAAACAACAAACAACATAAACACATGAGCAAACTTCGAGGAACTTTCTACAAAACACTTGACCATACTCAAAATTGCCAAGGTCATGAAAACAAGGAAAGAGAGAGGCCGTCACGGGTGAGAGAAACTAAGCAGATATGATGGCTGAATGCCATGTGGGATCCCAAAATGGAGACAGGACATTAGTGAAAAAACTGGCAAAATCTGAATACAATTTGGAGTTTAAAGTAACGTACCAATGTTGGTTCGTTAGTTTTGGGAAATGTCCAGTACTGCAGTAATGTAAGATGGGTTAACATTAGGGAGAGCTGAAATCCGGTGAGGGCCATGTGATAAATTGTGTACTATCTTTGCAACTTTGCAGATCTAAAATTATTCCAGATTAAGAAGTTTACATCTATAAAAAGCATATGTACATCATAATTACAGTTATGCAAAAATATGATTATAAAAGATACATAAGGAAAACAAATACATAAAAATAAGTGTGGTTCTGTTAGAATGGTGGGAGTGTGGAGTACTTTTTCCCCTTATCTGCTTACTAAATTAGCTGTAAATGACTCATTTTCCATAAATTAAAGAGTTAATTTTAGAGGTGTTTTGAGAAAAGAATTCTTTTCCTTGAAATACAGAGGGAATGTACAAAAGTATATCTGAATTGAAGGGTAGTCAAGACAAAGCCTGCTTTAAAATATCCCTGAGACGTCCTTCTGCACAAGGTAAGCCGACCCGTGTTGACCCAGAAAATATCCGTTGCTCCTGCCTTTCCAATCCCCTCAGCCTCCCCCCAGTTCTGCTACAAATGGGTGCCTCTGTCAGCCCCGTTGCCCTGAGAGCACAGGGAGAGGGCACCTGAGAATGTATGTAAACCCTGAAAATCCAGGCTTCAAGACCTCGGTTTTTGTCCTTGATCTTTTGTAGGGTTCTCAGCATCACCTTAGTCCTGGAGAAACTCTGGCTTCCAAGGTAGGCTCATACTCATCAGGGTCTCTGGGAAGGCTGGGGCAGGAGTGAGGGTAGGAGGCAGAGGGCTCATAGGACTTAAGAAAAGCTTTCTTGAAGGTCAGGTTTTAGAGTGGAAGGTTCAAGCAACGGCAATCTGAACACTTTTGCAGAAGGTTCCCGGACTCTCTTCCAAACACTACAAACAGCACTAACAGACTGGCCTGGAGCTCCCACCATAAGCACCTGTAAGCAGTCACCCCTTCAGTAGCGTGTACTGGCCCTCGCTACCCTTCTTCAGACCCAAGTACAAGTAAAGTCTTGCAACTGAAAAGGAGGAAGTGACCGGCCAAACAGAAATATTTACCTAGCCTGCCTTCTTTCCACTATGTGGCCAGTGAACTCACGAGTCTCGGAGAACAGTGTAAACCCTCTCTTCACTCCTTATGTAACATTTTTCCCCAGAAACACTTTATCAGAAACAATTTTTTTTTTTTTTTTTTTAAACGGAGTCTCGCTTTGTCACCCAGGCTGGAGTGCAGTGGAGCGATCTTGGCTCACTGCAGCCTCTGCCTCCCGGGTTCAAGCGATTCTCGTGCCTCACCTTCCTAAGTAGCTGAGACCACAGGTGCACGCCATCACACCTGGCTAATTTTTGTATTTCTAGTAGAGAAGGGATTTCACCATGTTGGCCAGGCTGGTCTCGAACTCCTGACCTCAGGTGATCCACCTGCCTCAGTCTCCCAAAGTGCTGTGATTACAGGCGTGAGCCACTGTGTCTGGCCAACAATTTTTATTTATTTATTTATTTATTTTTTGAGACGGAGTCTCGCTCTGTCGCCCAGGCTGGAGTGCAGTGGCGCAATCTCGGCTCACTGCAAGCTCCGCCTCCCGGGCTCACGCCATTCTCCTGCCTCAGCCTCCTGAGTTGCTGGGACTACAGGCGCCCGCCACTGCGCCCGGCTAATTTTTTCTATTTTTAGTAGAGACGGGGTTTCACCGTGTTCGCCAGGATGGTCTCGATCTCCTGACCTTGTGATCCGCCCGCCTCGGCCTCCCAAAGTGCTGGGATTACAGGCGTGAGCCACCGCGCCCGGCCAATTGTTTTTTTTAAAACCTATTGCCAAGGGTTTGGCATATGGATCAAGCTGGATTGCCTGA